TGTCCACGAAATTCTTAGTCACACAGTAGCTTCGTCAGGTGAAATACTGATACAATGAAATGTCACCTGACGAAGCTACTGTGTTATCGAAACATGTCGTGTGACTAAGAATTTTGTGGAAATCTCATCGTTTGTGAAGTTTTTACATTTGTTATATATTCATCTGTGAGAACAGCTCGCAGGTTAACTAGCATAGTTTCGTCAACATAAGGTTACATGTAACCGAACATGGTTAGTGATCCAGAATAACAGCAGGTTTTGGTTTGTCAAACAGTTTGCAGGAAAATCCAATACATTCGTGAAGTTATCACTGAGGGCATTATGATAATATGATCATCAATTTTTGACAACTAACATTCCAGTGCATAAGTAGATTGCTGAATTAACTGTTCCCTTCAAATAGTTATCTGTATCGACTAGTTATCTATCTTCCCAAGAACAGTTTGCAGCAAAGTTGCGTAAACATCTGATATTCTGATGAGAATGGTTAGTAATTACCAAAGGCCATTGGACTATTGGCCTATAGAGGATATAAACAATTTAAAAAAAAATTGTTCTAAAATTGTTGTCATCCATCATTCGGTTGCCCCCTTACGAGCAACCTTCAGATGTCTTCAAGAGACTTGTGCGATGACGGGGGTCTTACCTTTTAACGTGTGATCCCAAACACTTTCTTAGGCCATCAGAAAAATTTCTGCGGTCGTGGTGGAAATCGAACCCACCTACCGGCAATCCAACGTGGATAGAACATTGACGCTTTAACCACGAGGCTACCAGGCATTGGGAATATTTTCGAGAACATAAACACATCAAGATGATGATGTGACAACCATCATCTTCAATGGTTGGCATTCTGAAATTTATGTTGAATGCTCAATGCTGAGCTGTTCCTCCAGGAGGCCAGCGTAGCCTCGTGGTTGAAGCATCAATATTCTACACTGAGAGAAAACTTGAGTTATCATAATTGGAAATCTGATAACCGTTATTACGATATCTGCAATAAATGGGGGACAGATGTGTTCATGTGCTACCATAGATGAAGTGAATTTTCAGGTGACTTGTAGTTATGGCAGCTTATTCAATTTGCAAACTTGTATAAAAACACCGCTGCTGAATAACTACTACTTGTTCTAGTTTCTATGATAACACAGAATGTCGAATAGGAATTATTCCCATAAATTGTTGCAGTAACTCTCCACTCTACAGTGGTTATTAGACTATCGACATAAAACAGCATGTTTTCATTACTGGCACAACCATCTTGAGGTAACGCAGTAATTCGTCTCATTTAATTATAGTTATCTGATATCTGCATGAAACCTGACATTTCGACATGCTATTGTAATGTAGCTCATTTTCAACAGTTATCCCAATATTTTTCTACTCTAGTATATTCATCAAACAGTGGTAATAAGGTTATCAACATTATTCGATGGTATGCATTATGAAACCGTGCTTTGAATTACTGCAATGAAAATAAATATCCTATCCACACTATCACTTTTCATGATCCAAAGTTATTGTTTTCAAAAAAACAAAAAAATACGTTTAGTCTCTGAATTGAAATATTGTGGTATCTGTGGAAGTTTTTTGACATTACTCATTGATTTGTTCGGAGAAATATCATCTATATGCATTACTGACGAATTTATTAAGAAATGAGAAGTTGAATACTTATATTTACCCTTCCTTCGGAGTTTTGATATAAGAATTGTCAATAAAACTTCCCTCACAGAAACCCAGATATTTTGATTCAGAATCTCATCGATCATTTTGTTTTTGAAATAAACCAATTTAAGGCCTTGAAAAGTGGGTATGGAGAATACTGTTTTCATTGCAATAATGCAATGCACGGTGTATTCCACAGATCGGTTCACAGCCAGCACTAAAACAAAACTTTGCTACATCACAGACATTCACCAACAAGACACGGCTCTTTCGATTCGGACGATCGAAATAATTGAACACGGGCACCCATGACCGAGAACAGAGAAATGAACGCGATCTGTATCTTTGTCAGCCACAATACTAATGAAACACTAGAGAGAACTGAGCCGAATTACGATTGTCGAATGATTGCCTAATAACCGTCATACATGTGAATTGCTAGAGTTATTCGTCAACGTACAATGCTAGAAACCCAAACAACTATGATTATTGGGACAAACATTATCTGAATTCACCAATGAGCATAATTCACAAAACGAGCTATGTCAATAAAAAATCTAAATAGACTGGAATTTATAAAATTCTCATAATGTCATAACACACCTGCGTTATGATGGTAGCAAATGTCCATTCAAGGGTATTACAAATGATTTAAGAAATCGATTTTTATAATTACAGAATGGATAGAATACTGTTGTAATAATAAAATGATCAGGAATAGGAGATTTCCTTATAATGGTTATTACAATCAGAGCTGGTAGATATTTTTAATATCCAGTTTCTCTCAGTGTATCCGTGTTGGATTGTGGGTGCGATTCCCACCACGACCGTAATTTTTTTGATGGCCTAAGAGAGTGTTCGGGATCACACGTTGAAAGGTAAGACCCCCGTCATTCCTTGCTCGCACAAGGCTCTTGAAGACTTCTGAGGGTTGCTCGTAAGGGGGCAACCGAATGATGGATAAGAAGAGATTTTAGAACAAAAATTGAATTGGTAAGTATCTGTCGTAGAGAACTGCTTGTAAGTTATATATATTAAATAGCAGAGCTGCGTTAACAGAAGGTTTCATGCAACCGAACCTGAGAATTAGATGAGAATGGTTAGAGATTCAGAATAACAGCAGGTCTGGTATTGGTCTAGCGCCTCAATAACAGTTAGTGACAAAAGCTAATAAAGTTGCGAAGCTATGAATAAGGGCATGTTGATGGTCATCAAGCTTTGACAACTAACATTTTACAGTTCGAATTGATTGCTGAACTATTTCCTATAAGGAGTTATCTGCATCGAATGGTTAACTATCTCTTTAAGAACATATAGCAGGTAAGCTAGCAAAGTTGCAGAGTTTCATGCAACCGAGCTTGTGATTCTGGTGAGAATGCTTAGTTACCATTACCAAAGTCATCAGACTAGTGGCACTAATGAATGAATGTTTATTTGCAGAAGATGAAGGAAGATTACAGTACATTATTATTACAGAAGGTTACAGTGCATTATTTGTAGATATAGTGTTGATGTAGATGTAGATGTAGATGATGATTGATAATGGTTGTCAATTGTTGATGACTAGCATTCTATATTTTGGGTTGATTACTGAAATGTTCCTCTGTATACGAATTGGTAACTATAACTTCTTCTGGACAGCTTGCAGGTTAAATTAGTTTTCAGAGTTGGTTTCATGCAACCAAACCTGAGAATTTGATAGGAATGGTTAGTGATTCGGAAGAACAGCAGTTATTGATGACACTTCATTAACAGTTAATGATCCCTTTATCTCTGTGTAGGCTTGAATAGAAGATGACAATTTCTTTTGGGGTTGGGTTGAGCATATTTGCATGTTCTAGTGGAATAAGATGAGTATTATATAAAATATATCCTTGAATTGTTCTTGGGCTAAACTTATGGACTATTCAGTTGCTGTGTTTTCATAGATTGTATTCAATTACAGAACTGCCACGTTATTGAAAAAAAATTGCAAATTCTGGTCCAAAAATTGGTGCTCTTACTACCGATTAAGATAATCAAATCTGATCTTAATTACCTTCAGCAGTGTTCATTATGTCATTAATTTCAGTTGCTTATCCCATTTATGTGATTGGACAATGTCTTCGGTATAACACGACAGTACCAACGACCACGTGTATCGATAGCACCCAGCGAAGGGCGAAGGGAGAACAAGAGCACGGTAATGCGGAAATATGATTCAATGGTGTAACTTTTACCCGAACTTTTACCTAACTATTAATTAGAAAATTAGAGATCAAGATGATTCCGAAACGTACAAAAAAATATTTATCGAGGAGAAAGAGAATAAAAGTTATAAATTTTTTCAGAAATAGGTACATGTTTTCTAGATTGGATCAATGACATAGGAGGAGTATGTTCTATCATTAGATTATATCCAATTTTTCAGTTTTACTCTGAATAGGCGAGCCGAGTCAGGTTGTTTTAGGTCATTAGGAAATTTATTGAATAATTTTGAACTTTTATTGCGAAAATTCCTTCGACCTAGCGATTTCTGAGTAGCAGGGACATGAATGGCATCAGATGCGATATTTTGCCTGGTACCGTAGGTATGTGGTACATTATTTGAAATCTGTCTATTGGAGTAGAGGAAAGGATAAAGAGCTCTGAAACAGAAGAGCTCTGTCGTATATGTTCACCACCTTATTGGCATCCATGAATAACTGGTCTGAGGGAAACTTGCGAGGTTTCTTAAGTATGATATAAACTATTAAAATCATCAGCATTCGAAAAAATTGTAAACATATCAAGATGCTGATTGATGATGGTTGTCACTCGTTGATGACTAGCATTCTATAGTTTGGGTTGGATTATTGAGATGTTCCTCTGTACGAATTGTTAACTATAACTTCTTCAGGACAGCTTGCAGGTTATATTACTTTTCAGAGTTGGTTTCTTACAACCAAACCTGAGAATTTGATAGGAATGGTTAGTGATTCGGAAGAACAGCAGTTATTGATCTGACACTTCATTAACAGTTAATGATCCCTTTCTCTCTGTGTAGGCTTGAATAGAAGATGACAATTTCTTTTGGGGTTGAGCATATTTGCATATTTTGGTAGTTCCACAAGAAAGGACATTATAGGTAATGAAGTGGGATACATTGAATCTTATATCTAGAGGACTAAAATGGGTATTATATAATATATATCTTTGAATTGTTCTTGGGCTAAACTTATGGGCTATTGAGTTGCTATATTTTCATAGATTGTATTCAATTACAGAACTACCACGTTATTGAAAAAAAAAATAGCAAATTCTGGTCTCAAAAATTAGTGCTTTTACTACCGATTAAGATAATCGAATCTGACCTTAATTATCTTCAGCAGTGGTCATTAATTTCAGTTGCTTATCCCATTTCTGTGATTGGACAATGTCTTAGTTGTAACACGACAGTACCAACGACCACGTGTATCGATACCACCCAGCGAAGGGCGAAGGGAGAACAAGAGCACGGTAATGCGGATTAGTGCGCGAAAGGAAAATCGAAAACTGCCGTTCGGAGGGACCGCACTTCCTGAACGTCCGGTATTGATTTCCCTCTCTTTGCGTGGGCGCGGGCGCTTTCCTGCTGTGATCTAGCCGCAGGAAGGCAGGAGCCAACGAACTCGAACGAACAAAGCCATTGCTGGGTAAAGGAGTAGGCCCTGGTAAAGACCTGGTTTCTCTGACCAGATCGGCCCGAAATATTTCGGCGAATATCAGCGTACAGAACGTGGATATTCGCCGGATTCAGTTCGTTCAGAAGTTTCGTGTATGTGTAGTTTGTCTGAAGAAACTTCTCGTAAATTTTGGTTCCGATATATTCCAATCTCCTCGTGGGTGCTTGCGGCAAAATCAAAATGAAAAATGGATTTTTTCATCGCTATGATTATAGAAGAAGAACATGATGACGATGATGAGTATCCCCAATAGCACACAACGTCCTAGGTACGTCCGTATTTGGTACAATTCAAGTACGAATGTCCCGGACCAAAAATAAGTGTCCTTGGGACGTCCCATCTCGTACATCTCATGCAATGTCCGAGCAAGGACGTCCACGGAATGTCCCAGCTGGTACATCATTTCAAATGTCCTAGGAATAGCATCCCTTACACGTCCCACGTCGTACATATTGTAGAATGTCCATGCAAGGACATCCTGCTTATTGGCATGCCCCTGATGTGATATGATTTTAAACGTTCCTTACTACTCAGGACATCCAGCGGATGTCCCAAGTAGTACATATTCTGGCATCACTTCAGATCCTATATATAATGCCCCTTCTAGACAACCATGAAATTTCTCTGATAGTACACTCCTTCAAATATCTCTGCACAGACGCCCTTAATATATCCAGGATCGTAAAACAATCGAAATGTCCCTAAGAGGCATCCTCCGAATGTCCCTTAGTTATATCCGTCGGATGTCCCAATTGGTACATGAACTGTACTCTTCCAATGTCTTAAAAATAACGTCCTACGGACGTACCAGTTGGTACTTTCAATATGTTGTCCCTGCGAGGACGTTATCTTACACCTCGCCGGCGAATGATTGCTCGTAGGCAATGAAAACTCCCGTCAATGTCCTTCACGTAAGTCCATTGGACATCCTTGGGAAACTTTTTCAGGGTCTATTGGGGACCTTCTACGGACCATCAACTCAACTGGATGTCCTCATCAGTTATGCAAGATCTGGTTCTAGAGCGACCCAGAAAAATTCAAATGCAAGAATAATTGGTACGTCCATGGGACATACTATGGACATCCAATTGATATCCCTCAGCGTAGGTTGTCCTACGGATGTCCTAAGGATGTCCTCCGTTGTGCTTGATGAGGAATACTGTAGGATTTAGGTATTCGATAGTTGTCCAGGGACATCCCTCAAGGGCGTTTCTAGTTGGCCCTCAAGTGGGACGTTTGCGCGTTCCACAGACGTCCAATGGACGTTGACGGTACCAAATCCGAACGTCCTATGGACGTCCTGAATGTCACGACAAGACGTCCTAAGGATATCTATGGGACATAATTGTGTTATTAGGGATGCGTTATTACGAGTATGTATTTTGATAATAAAGAACATATTACTCATGCATTTTTTTGTACAAACTAGTCAATAACCTGATTGATTGTCCTGAATTATTATCCCAACTGAATTTTCATGTACCAAGACATAATGCTAGAAATCAGATATGTTTTTACCTCAATACACCTAGAACTAATGTATCGGCCAATTCACCAATATACTCTATGTGTAATGAATTCAACAAATATTGTAGCACGACACAATTGTATTCGCACTCCTTAAGCCAATTTAAAAATCAACTCAAATGTATACTACTGAACAATCAAGATTAATTTCGAATGGATTCAAACGCAATTTTGTTTACTTATATCAGTACATACGATTCTAGTTAACCCGATCTATCAAAAATCTTAACAATATTATCAATGATATTTTAAATATAAGTATTTCACCATTTACTTCTTGGCACCTTAAATGAAATCGCGATCGCATTACTCATGTTATATTGTAACATTATTGTAACAAACATTGTATATATTTTTTTGAATCTGTCCTCTAAGTGGGTATATTCCTGTTTGGACAATAAACGATTTTTTTTTTTTTGTTAATAAAAAAGTTCTGAACATATTTGAGAAAATGGCCATAGAAGGTGTTTATGAGTTGTTAGTGTTGAAACATTCTCCAATTTCCATTGCAATTTTTGTCCAAATGTTCTCTTTTATTTCCATATCCTTTGTAACTTTCCAATCTTTTAGCATATAAAGGGGGATTTTCCTTTACTTTTTTGGTCAATATTTCATCCTCTGGCGAGGAAAACTCTAATTTGTTGTACTTCTTTCCAGACGACATCTTTTAACGTTCATTAGCTCTAGATCTAGTTTTATTTTATAATAATTACAAAAAAACACGTTGTTCGTTTGTAGAAGGTCTGAAAACAAACACACTTCAATATTTCGGAGAAACGTGCCGTTTTGAAATCGTTCAAATCAAACACTGATTGATTCCGACGAAGTGCTATCCGTTCACTTTCCCGAAATTTCGGTCCGATCGTTTATACAAACCGCCACTACGTACTACAAATGAGCTTGGTTTCACCGGAAGCGCTAACGAACTTTCTGTGCTATATCACCGAAATATTTAGTGGCGATCTGGTCAGAGAAACCAGGGCTTGAGGGATTTTTTGCGAGAATTAGCCGCTTTCCAATTGTCACAGCCAGTACCCAGCGAGCACAAACATCCCTGGGATGTTTTGGGATGTTTTGAAAATGTTGGCATGAAGATGTTATTTTGAGACGTAATATGCACTGACCAAAGAGGTCTCTGAAGGATATTGAAGTATTGTTTTTGTTCTTCTGTGGCATTTCTTTGTTTGCCTACTGAGAGGTATCCCTGGGATGTTTTGGGATGTTTCAGAAATGTAGGCATGAGGATGTTTTTTTGAGGCGTGATATGCACTTCCCAAAGAGGTCTTAGAAGGATATTGAAAGTATTGTTTTTGTTCTTTTGTGCCCTTTCTTTGTTTGCCCCACCACAACGTCTCATGCTTACGTCACAATACGATTGAATTCTGATTTGTTTTCGATTTTGTTCTTCTTGTTCGCAATTGGCATTCGCGTTTGCAGCGTGTCACGCTGCTAACGAACAGAAAGGAATTTGGTGAAGTTTATTGTGTTAGAAGACTTATATAGTTTGTAATAATGACCATCAGATGCAAGATGTGTTGTTCGGTGCCTCAGTGTAATCAATATATAAAAGTACGAATTTAACAATACACAGCTTCTCCGCAGTTGCAAAATTATGCATTGTGGAGAACATTTCAAAAATTGGGAACCTATTTCCAATTATATGTCTGTGTGTAGTAAGCACGACTACTCAGAAACCGATTAAGAAGGTAATTTCATATCAAGAAAATATTTTTATGTTCAACCTATTTATAATGCATTTTTCCATTCAAGGGAAATGGAATCCTAATGCAAAAGTTCATTTTGACAAGAGGCTTCAGAAAAGTACCTCTAAAATGTTTTTTTACAGCGATTTAATGTGCGCAAGACGCGTTGAAAATGTTTTGTTGTGTCCATGGAAAGGCTTTAAAAAGAACTAGGGAGAAGGTAGTTTTGTGACATATCAAGGACATCTCGATAATTGCCGCCTGCGGCGGACATTGGCTGTTCTATAATAGTTCTATTCATGTGTGAACAGAACATCGCAGTGGAGGTTCAATGTCTCGAAATCTCGTACTTTTAACATCTCTGAGATGTTTTTGTGCTCGCTGGGTAGCACCGAGTGACTCCGAGCAGATCTTGAACTGATCAACAGCTCAGATATAACACCAACCATCGGCCCAGCATTTGTAACCACACCTCTCTCGGCAGTTCATGTGTATACTTTCCTGGCGTCGAGGTGTCCAGGCGGCCGCCAGCCGGCCGTAATACACATTACCGGCGATTGAATTATCGACTCAGAAAGTGTCACAACAAATTTCAATGTACCATTGACGGGAGCCATCAGCCACCAACGTATATGCGCTTGCAAATCCGTATCAAGGAAGATGAGTTTTTCGAGCACTTTCTGACCGCGAACTACAAACTTCGAATGCGCAATATCGAAAGGAGTTTCGAAATCTCTCGATATCATCTACCTACTTTGTAAAAATAGCGAGGCGTGGAAGAACCTTACTAAATTTCCGAAGTTTCAAACCAAATTTACAGGTATCATGACACATTTCGATTTTCAGTAGTGAATTCATGAACAATACGAAATCCTACCTCAAGAAAAATTCTGTGATAATAGTTCATTAACTCAATTTTGGTACATAAAGTGAACCGAGTGTTCGGATTTTCAAATAATCCTCACACATTGCAGCAGTAATAATAATAATAATAATGTTTATTCGAAATATTCACAAAATACAAAGTGGTATAAATTTTGGTACTGAACAAAAAATAGAATATGTATAGTATATTCTGATGAGATATTTTCGAACAAACAAAAATCTACTAAGGCAGAGCCTGTGCGTGGGCGAGTTACTTATTCTAAAATATTGACATCCATTAGTACAATACATTTTTAAGTCCATGTGAGAAATATATATAAATTTATGGTATAAAAATTGCTAAAATAATAAATGAATACAATGAACAAGGCTAAATAAGACATTCATATGAATTTGAGCCATAAATATAACAACATAGGTACCGAACAATAATAATAAAAATAATAATAATAATAGTAATAATAATAAATAAGTCTAGAAATATATTAAAATATTCTAATATTCAAACAATAAATGAATAACCATACGTTCTAAAGAAAGAAGATGATATTTGGTCCTTTTTTTG